ATTTTTTTTTTTTTTTTTTTTTTTTTTTTTTTTTTTTTTTTTTTTTTTTTTTTTGGTTTTTTTTTTTTTTTAAATCACCATTAACCCGATTAGTCACTTCAATTTTACCTGAAAGCCACTTTACCTTCAGGTCAAATATGCTTACAGTTGGATGAACAAAAGTTCAGGCCCGGCATGTCAGAAGATTTGTAAAGCAGACCTTGCATGGCCTTGTTGAGGACAAAAATATCGATCTATAAAGTGATATGGTATGCAGAAAGAATAGTCTAGAATGTATCGCAGGTAGGAGAGAGAATGATATATTGATTTAAAGTGGCCTGCCACATCAGCATGAGTCATAGGCAGAGCTATTTATAACTAAGTTGTCTTGTTTGTCAGGCAAGCGGCAGCCCTCAGGTGGAGACTAGCGGTACACTTGAATCTGTATATTTGAAAACCAAGAATCCCTTAAATCTTCCTTGCTGATTAATCACATGAAGATTTACTCGTTGATGTTCATTAGTCCATTGATGATACCACCCTGTCATGTGTGTTTTGTGTTTATAGTACTGGTATGTTGTATGCGTCTGGGGGCTTGGGCTGCCTCCGTCGTGTGCTGCGCCTACTGTGACAGATGGAGCTCAGCCCACGCCCAGCTTAACAGACCCACATTAATAGAATCAGGGTTATGCTGACTCTCTATCTCTTTCTGATAACAAGGGCCAACAGGGATTCAAAACGTGTGCAACCCTCTGCAGGAGAAACAAGGAATAGAGGAGCAAGGCAGCGAGAAAATGAACATATATTAAAACAAAATGTGGTGAACTGGCGTTCACTTTGAGGCCTGAGGTGAGATTGACGAATAGACGGCTGATGGAAACAGGAAGTTGAATGCGGCGACTGTTGCCGAGCGAGTGTAGGACAGACGGTGAAAGAAAGCGGAGGAGGGGTGGGGGGTGTTAGTGAGAGCTTGCAGCATTATTCTCGATCAGCCACTGTCACCATGACTCCTACCAATGTCCCACTGTTTTACTGGAGGATGTTGTTGCTATGGCAACCATTCATGGGCCCCAATTATCGATGAGAAGGGAGTGGGGGCTGTCAGATGAAGGGAGGTGTGAACATATGGTGTTGGCTGAAGGATACTGAAAGAGGACGGAAGGACAAAGAGAGGTGAAATGCTCTTAGAGGAAGAATGGGTATGTTGCCGAGGGAAAGAACTGCAGGTATGAAATGCAGAGAGGAAGAGAGCAGGAGAGTGACCTACATTCACTAGGGAGGAGATATTCTGCAAAACTGGATGCATGTTCAATTCTTTCTTGATCATCCTTCACACACGCAGACCAAAATATATATATATAAATTAACACAATCTGTTCATACCCCTAATGTGTTCAAATTTGGAAAGCGTTCTCCCATTGAAACGTGTGGAAATTGTTGCCATCATCAAACCTTTATTAACTGTACAGGCAATGTTTTATGTAATATGTTGACATGTGTAAAAATAAAATAATCACCATTAATACTAATATGTAAAAACAAAATAATAATGACAAAGGCACAATCCACAGTCTTGCCCAACTTGCTCCTTCTTTTGGAATCAGGGTTGCAATAAAATGACGTCATGTATCGTCGTGTATCGCTAAGGTTAAAACGTTAATGTGTTGTGCATCTTTAGAAGCTTATTGTTCCAGACAATGTGTGTGAAATTCCAAATTGTACAACCTAAAGGCTGTTTTCAATTGCAGAAAGTACATTAAAAGGTGAAGATTAGGTTAAAAAACTGAATGAAGTTGTATCCGGCCATATGCTGTATTTCTGATTGGAGACATAAACTGTGAAAGAATTCAATCAAGATGCCTACCACAAGTGAAACCCAGAGAGGTACACACTCTTAACCATATGCACGTGTTCAAAATCTATGGTCAGTTCTTATTTTTAGGATGAATTTATATGAAGGAATTTATGCAAAAACAAGACAGATAAAATTATCTATAAATAAACATTATGCAGAGGCACCATTTTGAAAAAGGGTGTGGTGACTCATTTATATTCTGTCACGCAGTCACAAGCCACTGCAGTTCAGCAAAATAGGAATGGATTGATGAAAACTGATCTGGTCCTTTCCTTTTCTCATGCATCATGTTTCATATCTGCGTATCAAAATCCTGCGTTGTCTTTGTTGCTCTCCTTCCTCCTCCTCAGTTTATGTAACACTGCGCTGTGCTTTTTGTCCGGCAGTCCGACATGGGGAAATTATTAACCGGACTTGGCCAAATAGAGCTTGGCTGATTGAAGTGATTCTAAAAATCTTGGGTGGCAGTGGATGTCGCAGAGATGTTCTCCTGCACAGTTCTGCTATATTCATGCAAAGAATGAGGGGCATTTACAGACAGCGATGTCAGTGTGATCACATTTTGCGCAGAGAAGAGCGTACCCTCATCTGCAATGTGCACATCACTGACGGAAGAAAAGCGTTAACACCACCCAATGACACTGACTATCAACATTGATGAGATAGATTAAGACTGTTGTCTATACCAGGGAGCAACGACTGTGTTTTCACAGTAGACTGCATGAAAGGTCAGAGCAGCTGCATGGTGTGAAAGGATGGCTAGCAGGGATTGGAGGGGAGCAAAGAGAGAGTTTTGCTCTGCAGCAGTTATCAAAGCTGCAAAGGCTGTGTCAGGATTAGTTTTGAATGAAGCAGGTCTGATGTCACAGCACAGAACATAATCCGTTCTGGGACGCTGGTCGACCTCCGATTGATTGAAGTATTTTCTTCCCTGAGGCAATGATGAAAATGATCATGATGTTTCGACAAATTCTCACAGTTCGTCAGGTATCTAAATCCAGTCAAAGCATAACCTTGAGGGGCGAGTACAGTTTGGTGTCTTTTTTTTTCCATTTTGATATTTGGTGTCAGTCAGTGTCTGTCTTACTTTTCAGGATAAGTAAATAATAGTCATTTATCTTCTTGCAAAACAAGTGTTTCAGAGTCCTCAGTTGTCTTTTCGACTTGAGTGGCTTTGCGTGCCTTTTACAGATTAGGATTGGATGCCCAGTGGGACATGTCATGTGATGAACGGGATTTAGATTTAGAATCCTTTGCCCAGTGAGAAGACCTGATTTATGCGAGAGAACAAATGTGATATCAGAAAGAAACACATTTGAGTCATCATGCACTCTATCACAGAAGACAGAAGGATCTGTAATCATGGACAGCGCAGCTGAGCTCAAGTGTAATGCTGGGTTCAGACCAACAACGAAATATTGCATCACCCGGGTTAACTGCAGGAGGTTGCTTCGGTGGAGAAGAGGAAAGGCTGCTTCTTCTCCTCCAACAGGAAGAAAAAGAAAGTTTGAACATTGTTAGTCAATCTGGTGACTGGTGGTTGTGTTACTTTGGCTGCTAAATGCTATCTTGGCTGACAGTTCAGCAGCGTTAGTAATCAAGTCAATACACTCACCAGATACTGAACGCAAACTTCCTCGCTTCCCGTTCTCCAAGCCTGCTCCTTTTTGGCTCAGTATTGGAAGCTGGCTGAGTTGTCCCCGTATATCCGCGGCCGTCTGTGCTGCTGCTGCGTGTGACGTAGCAAAGCAAGTACATTCTCGATGCCGATGGTCTCTGTGCGACGCAATTCCGCTTCAAATTCACATTTGCAAATACCAGCAAAATTGGCAAAGAATCTCATTTTTCTCTTCGTCCGTGCTGTCCGACACGCATTCTCACCTGACCTTGCAAACATCATTGACTGCATATGGAAATCTACCGCCAGAAATGCTCAACTTGCGTTCGTTCTGAGTGCAACATAAAAACGGACGCATCCTGATTTGGAATTTTGGTTCAACTCTTTGCACCACCAGAAGTAACATTTGTGCTTTTTTTTTTTTTTTTTCCAGATGCTGAAGGGGGAGAGGTGTCGCCCCCAATGGGTGCCGGAGTTGACAGCAACAGCTGGCACTTTCGCTATGGCCCCGGGGGTCCCGGTGCACCCCCGCAGCACCTGAAGGCCGGCGAGGTTCCCCCAGAGGCGTTCATCATCCCTGGCTCCCCCGCCATAATTTCCATCAGACAGAACCAGGGAGGAGACGACGATAAGAGCGACTTTATCACCTTCGGAAAGAAGGAGGAGGCCAAGAAGAAGAAAAAGAAGAAGAAGGACAAGAAGGACAAAAAGGATAAAGGGAAAGATGATGACGAGTAAAGAAGCGAGAAGTGAAAATTGGCAAAGAAAAAAAAAAGGGTGTTGTTAAAACAGAGGTACCAACCAAAGTCCACTGGGTTTATTTTTAACCTGGCCTTTACCTTCAGTCACCTGCTGAGGTAAATTATTGATCTTGCCTTGATAAATAAAAGATTGATTTTCATCCATGCCCCCATGTGCCTACAACCCGGAGTCAACAACCATGTGCGAAAAAAAAAAACAACACAGGACCAGTCTTTATCCTCATCCTAATTGTTTTCCCTCCCCTCCTTTAACCCATTGGGCATGTTGGCACCTCTGTCTTACCCCCTTTCTCAACGATGACGAATCATTCTAAGCGAGAGAGGACAAATACTTTGTACAAGCTCTCTGCCAGCCAAGGAAAAGAAGTCAGATGTGTGGAATCTGGGGCTGGACATACACATATAAAACACGTACACGCAACATATATACAAACAACTTGTAAATAGCACAGGGGAGTCACCGAAAGAAAGGCTAACAGTCACAACAAAACTGCTGCAGTCTCCTTCCTACCAACAGTGTTTTCCTGTGATCTCAAAGAATCCACATGCATGCATGCTCACACAAACATGCTAACACACACTTTGCCGTGTGGACACTGACAGCGCTTGAGAAAAAGCTGAACAAAAAAAAGACCACGGACGAGAAAAATCATGTGCTGAAAAGTAGCCACAGCAAGCTTTTAGTCACCTGTGGGGTATCAACTCTCAGGATGGAAGGAGCATCCTCTTGCGATCACTCTGAATTTGCTTACTGCTTTTAATGGACCATGAGTGCTGCTGCTCCAGCTGGAAGCCCAAGGCAACGAGCGCAGCCAAGTTGGAGAGATGGGGAAGATACGTCACACTCTCCTGAAGATCACCGAGGGGAAGAGTCCACCTATCAATCGGTGGACTCTGAAGCAAACAAGCAGAATATTATTCATAGAAGCTTGAGATTTTGCTAACACCCCTTCTTATGTCCCCATGCTGCAGCGAAAGCTGAACGCTTTCTGCTTTGAATGTTTGGTAGCAACCAGTCCTTACCTGATACCTTTTCCACTTCTCACCTGCTTGTGCTCCCCCCCATGCTACCACAAACTATGTCCCCAACCCCACTGACTGCCTCTTCGCGTCAAGATGAAGTAAACCTACTTTCCTTAATTCTCTCAAGAGATTCACAGTACATGTTTTTGCCATTTTATGTAGAGACCACACCTACTCACCCACCTTCCCATCCTCCTGCGATTCTTGCATGTCCGCCCCCTCAGACATGACCCCTCACACCCTGCTCAGGACCCATCCTGGGAAAATGGCCTGCTCTGAACATTGTGGTGTGCTGACAACAGCATGGAGTAATGTGGATGTGGCCCATCAGGGGGAAGAGGGGCGGCTGGCGTACACCTTGAAATCTTGTCTCTCAAAGTGCAAAACGGTTCAGTGCTTTTATCATGTGAATACTACACTATGCTGTTCACTTCCTGTTTGTCGCTGCTGTTGTGAGACGGGATGAGGTGGGATGGAGATAAGTCGCAGGGGCAAAGGACCGGAAAGGAAGCGAGGAGGCGGGTGCCTTGGGCTGGCCCTCCCCCCTTCAAGTTTGCAAATAAATTGATTGTTTCTGATCATGGAGTCGCATACTATCTTATATGTATGCTGTAAATGTAGCGTTTGATTGATTGTCTCGACACTAGTAATTGAGCCTGCTAAAATTTTGGGAAAATGGCATCCGGGGCTTCCCTGTTAACAGCTAAATCCCACCAATCCTCTCATGAAGCAATGAGTATGAGGCTGAAACATGCTTCTATGCTTCTGTTGGTCCCCCTCCCCTGCCTGTAACTCATGACCCCCCCCCCCCCCCAAGTTTTGCGATGTCACTCCATTAAGTGGCTGCTGCATGTACTGCTCTACGGAAACACATACTATATAGAGAAATATATATATAAATAGATAGCAGTGATTTTATTTTTTTTGACATTATTTCTTTTTCCTCGTCATTACTCACACAGGAAATATTTGTATGTACTTCTCTTGTCTCTGCCACACATCTACGTATTACAATCGTCACACTCTGCAGATGTGTTATGGCTTCCACTAAACCTCTTTCAATATTTGTAATGCTTATAGTGTGATTATATATGTTTTTATTGCATTTTCCCCAAATTTTTATTTGTGTTTTTGAAAACAAAAAAAAAAAAAAAAACTGTCCAGCTTTGACATGATGGTCTAACACTAACTAACACTGTAATGTTGTAAGTGAAATATGTATGAGCCTATGATGAGCTATCACTTCCCTTTCATTCTTGCAAAAAAATATACAAAAAAAATTACACAAAAAAAAAAAATGGGGGAAAAAAATATATGTACCTGTAGTGTATGCTTGTATTTAGTGAGTTTCATGCTGTCATTTTTTTCCCTGTGTATGATGGTGAACTTTGATGGCAATGCATAGTCCGAAAAAGGACCAGCTAAGATCTGTTTTAAATCCTTTTTTTTTTTTTTTTTTTTTTTAATTGGGGGAAAAAATTTTTGTACACCTGCTCATCAATGTGACAGTGAAATTGTGAATTTCATTTACTTCCATTCCCATTCTGCCTTTTATTTTACCTTAATGGAAACAGTGGTAATGTGTTTTGTTTATAATTCACAAATAAAGTTTTCTTTCTTAAAAATGAAATTGAACTCATTGTCTTTAGGAAGATGCGATATTGCTCTATTACTTGAGCATGCAGCGGAGAGAAGAGTACACACAGTGCTATAAAAACATATATATATATATATATATATATATATA